TCATAATGTTGTTTAATTAATTCCAATATACAACCTTAGTTGTTTAGCAACGTATACAGCATTTTGCCTTGCAAAAATGTTCTAACATAGGTGTTCATATAAAAGTCAGTTTATTTAGTATATAAAATATAAATACATATATATTATAAATTATATATATATATTTATTGCGATTTAAAACTTACGAAAACAAACGAGCGTTTGTTTATGCGAAATACAACTCTTGCGAAAAGTTCAATCACAAATCACGCATACATACACACTCACACACATACACATATCTATTGTTTATAACAAACTATATTTACATATATGTAAATGATTTAAAAATTCATCGAGACATACATACATATGTATTTTTAATATGCTGCCGTTTCTTTCTTTCTCTATTTGCATACAATATTACATATACATACAATACATATATCTTAAAAGCTGTTAGGTTTTCACTACACAAACAAAATTTGTATAGTAATTTAAACTAAACTCGTTAAAAGAAATACAATAATATGGCAGCAGGGGTATTCACAGTGTAGAAAAATAAAGAAAAATTAAACAAAAAATTGCAACAACACACGCTAAAGTTGTACGCATATGTATATGTATGTTAGTAAATAGCGAGCGGCTCAGTTACACCAACCACCACCCGCCCGCTAATGTGCAATGTTATGCATTGAATTGTATTTGTTTTCAATTTGCTTATTGACGTACTTCGTATTATGTGACACCAAAATATATTTTACTTATAATAAGTTGCCGCAAAGGAATGTTGCAATGACAGAAGGGACATGTTGACAACTTTTTTGCTAACAAAAACAAACAAAAAAAAAATTACAAAACCACAAAAAAAACAACAATAATAAACTTAACAAACATTTATTACATATAAAGCGTATTATGCAATAGAGAATTAAAAGAAATTAACAAAGTAAAAAAAAAAATTAAATCAACAAAAACTAAAAAAAAAAATACAAAACACAAAAACAAAACCAACAAACAATAACATTAATAATTAACAAATAAAAATGATGTCATAGAAATAGTATTTTTCACTGTGCGCTTTTGTTGTATTTATTCAGCAATGATTTACCAGTAATAACAATGTATATATTAATATAAATACCTAATAAATATGCATATGCAAATATATATATATATATATATATTATATATATATAAAATTAAAATAAATATAAACAATTTAGGATTATACAAATATATTATATATTGTAAACAAAAAAATAATGATTTAACCTTTGTACTTAAGAGCATTTCTTAAGTAGTAATAGCCACTCTATTCGAAATACAATGCAAAATAATAATGATGATAACAATAATAAACCAAAAAAATATATATTTGGGAATTTTTATTTGCTACGAAAGAAATTATCCATCCAAGAAAAATCGTTTACTTTGGCTGTAAAGCAGTTAAAATACCCTTGACAAATGCAAAAGATTCCATACAAGAACTTGATTTTGAGCGGTCAGCTTATATGGCAGCTATGTACATATACCTATATATACTATAGTGGTCTGTTATAAAAATTTTGTTTGAAGATTGTACTACGGCTTTGAATAATAATCCTTGCCGAATTTCGTGAAGATATGTTGTCAAATAAAAGAGTTTTCCATACAAGAACTTGATTTTTAACGACTAGCTTGTATGGCAGCTGTATGCTATAGTAGTCCGATCCAAAACATTTCTTCGGAGATTGTAGCATTGTCTTGAATAATAATCTATACCAAGTTTTCAAAGGATATTTTGTCAAATAAAAAAGTCTTCCATACAAGGACTTGATTTTTATCGATCAGTTTTTTCGGCAGCTGTGTATATCCTTTAGTGTTCTGTTACCGGCGGTTGCGACAAATGAGCAGCTTCTAGGGGGAAAAGAACGTGTGCAAAATTTCAAATCGATATCATAACTGCGTGACTAGTTCGCATATACACTGTTCGGGGTACAATATAAACATAATTTTTTTTAATAGTACTAGTTTTGTTGTTGTATGAATCGTCTAAATACCCTGTCGAGTAGTGTCGAGTAAATTAGACCACGTCTAAGTTTTTCAAAAAATTATTTTTTCTGTGTCCAATACGTTGTAGTCTCGTAGCGTTTAGGTCAGTTATCTTCAGCATAGGAGTAAACATAGTCGCCAATTTTGTACATACTCTTTCTAAAAAAGAGCATTAAAGTGTAAAACTTTAGTAAACTTTAATGCTCTTTTTTAGAAAGTGTATGTACAAAATGGGCGACTATGTTTACTCCTGAAAGAATGAAATTCGATTCCTTTGCTTAGGCTCAAAATGAATTGACAAATTTAGGTCTTTTTTAGAGCTCTAGACTATCTTAACCATTTCACCATTGCGATATGTGAGTAGAAAAAATTCTCTGCGAACTTTAAAAGCTGTTCTATTTTCTACTGGTTTCAAACCCAAAACGACAACATTTTTCTAACATTACCTCTAGACAACCGATTTCAAACTTCTAAGCGTATTTCTGCTAAGAATCGAATCCTTTGGCCCCTTTGGCTCGGGCTAAAAGTGGTCGACCCCTACAATTATCTGATAAGATGGAGTAATTTGGTACTAGAAACGTTTTTCTTGAAAAATACCAGAATAACTTTTTCGTTAACCAAATAATTAATTACACTTTCCGCAAACTTAGATATTTGGATCTTTAAGCAGAGCATGTGGTTCAAAGACATATAAAGCATTCACTTTTCAGGCAGCTGAAATTAAAACCGAATCAAAGAATCTTTACTTCGACCTACTCAGAGCGGAAACAGAAATTTAATGGTGCAAATACTTTCCTTTTGCTTTCTTAACCGAAAATGGAGCTTCTTCACAATGGTCTGAGGTGCAGTAAACTAAGTCCAATAAAGATATGTTAATACTACAAGCAGTTGTTTTGAAAAGAGGTACGTTTCGGATACAATTTCGACCTTACGAGAATGAACGCCACGATCGTGACATCGGGTGGTAAGTCTAGTGCCTTATTGGACTGCCAAAGTAGTAAGAAAATGGTTATTCTGTCACCTATTTATGATAGACTGATAACAGCTGTCAAAACTTGCGAAAATATTCCTAAAAATATGTATCTAGAACCAGTCTGATTTCATTGTATTCGAACTAGTGCTAATTAAACCTATTCGTTTCCGTATAGCGCCCTATAATTGCATAGCATCATCGTAACATTTAAAATAAGCAATAGATTCAGCATGATCAAACCGACTAACAGTGAAAGGCTCACGGCAAACGTGATTAACTGCTCATGATCAATGAAGAATTGAACTCTTATTAAATAAGTATGAACTTAGATGTGTGTATGTGTGCATGTGAAATAAATTAATTTCTTTGTAAATGTTCAAATTCAAGGTGAGGTTTCAGAATGATGTCAGTGAAAGAGCCACTATATACATACATAGGTATATGTACTATACAATAAATCAAAGTAAAAAAGTGTATGTAAAACAAGTATTAATATACAATAAAAAATTCTAATTCAAAAAATAGTTATTATAAGGTTGTAAATTTAAGTAGAGAGCGCTTAAGATGGTGTTGGTAGATATACCAATTTTATAGGGAGATAGCAGAACATGTTGATGCTTTGGGTATGAAGCATGTCAATGCTAGATGTCGAAAGACGTAAATCTTTTGAAAAAACGACGTCGAATAGACGTTGACATTCATCAAACGCATCATTAATGGTGACAAGACGTGGATTTATGAATATAACAGGGTATTCTAGTGTAGAATTTCAAAAAAATCGATGTTTTTCATATTGTCAAAGTTTAACTATTTAAATATGTGTATACGAGAGGATTTTTGAAAATTTAAAATATTTTCGGAGATAAAGACATTTTACAGACCCGGTCTCCAAACTGGTTCGGATGGGTCTAATCGAACAAAAGATTTTACGCGAAACTTTAAATGCGTTTTTCTCAGACCAGACTTTTTTAATACGATACCCACGAGTAAATTTTAATTTACTTGAAATTTCCAAAGAATCTTCTTTATAGACCTCTCTCGAGTATGAACTATCCTCAAATGTTAAAAAAAAAATCGTTTTTTTTTTCAAACAGTCGCCATTTTTTCATTTCAGATGACTATAAAGCTTGAAATCATGGGTACGCTCATGTGCCAATTTTTCGAGACCCACCTACTTCATCAGCTGCCAGTTTTTTAAATTTTTAACTTTGTTTTGCAATTTTTTTCTGTACTCTTGTAACATTAATAAATAACTGATAAGCAATTCGATAGTAAAAATATTGATTGGCTTTTTTTATGACACTTTAAAAAGTACCTACAATTCATGTCTCTAGACTAGAATACCCCCATAACGTCGAAACTGTCTAAGTAAGTCTAGCGAATGGCGCTCCAAAAACTAGCTGAAACTAGTCAAAATTTCCGGAAGGCACTGTGGGCTATCCAGCCGAGGCAAAAAATCGTAAAAATTTGTATATAAATACGTGAAAGTTCATTTTTTAAGTCTGGGTCAATTTTGAACACATAGTAAGTTCGTTTCAGAAGCTACGATGAAATAAGTTATTTACCTTCGTATTGCTTAAAACAGTGACAATAGAAATATAATTACGCTTCTCACGACATGACAAAAATAGTTTACCGAAAAGTCTATATATTGAATCCTCCCTACTGATTCGACTGATTATATGTGAGTACCAATCGAAATTCCAAACCATACTGAGTCACAGCGATCTTGTACTGCAAAGTTTATAAACTACTGGCTGACCAAGCTTGAGCGATGCTTCAGAATGATTTCAAAAACATTTATCGGTACTTCAAAATTTAGGATGCATCTGAATGGCTGATGTAATTTATGATACTTTTTTATAACGAAACTTTGTCTAGATTTTGAGGTTTCCTCCAATCGAAAATTTTTCCCAGAATTACCGCATGGCATCATAAAAAAATTTATTCATAAAATGATTGCTTTATAGTACAAAATAAAAAAATATTATGTGATGAAATTGAAATTACTTACGATTTTTTAATATTTTACTTTCGAAACACAAGTTACAATCGAGTTTAAAGTAATCAAATAACAAGTTATATCCGCCTTAAATCACTATACGCGTATTCGTCTACGTCAAATAACTTCCTTATAAATAATAATCTACATTAATATTTAAATCAATTGCCACTAACGAAAATAGCTTACACAAAAATGGCAGTACACAAATAAATTAACATCTTTAATGTAATTAGAATTCATTAATTGCGAGTGCCTACGTAATTTCTTTTTTTTTGTTTTTGTTTGTTTTATTTTTGCTTTTGCGAAATTACAAATAATAAACATTTACATACAAATTGCTCATTTGTACACATACTTTTCACAGTCATTGTAATTTGCTAAATCAACTCGCACTCTGTTATACTCATTTGTAACAATTTCTGCTCCAGCGCTCAAGTGTTTGTCATCTGTGCACAATTCAATCAAATTCGACTGGAGCTAATTACTGCGCACGCGTATTCTGGAAGATTTTCGCGAGTGCTGAGTGCGACAGCAAAAATAGCAAATGTATACTCAAAAGTCACAAAAACTTTATTCGCAACGCTCTCGCATGGTTTTTTTTTCTTCTCTAATTGGTATGAACGAACTGCATGAGCGGTACATTATGAATGTACTCGTACATAGTATTGGCATGACTAGTTTGAATTACTAAAGGTTTTCTTTAATTTAAAGTTTGCTTGATTCCTTTCACAGACCTCGTCTCCACTGTGCCATCTTCCTTATTATTAATATCTAAAATTTATGGTACAGCCAGTATTTGCAGAAACAACCGCTAGGACAGCACCAATAATTGGAATTTTGAACTCATTTACTTCGTCTTTCATTATAATTGGTGCACCGGTCTGACATTTCGTAAAAGAGGTCCAGTGTAGCAATCTTGATTTGTTTCTTTGCCATTACAGTTGCCTTAAGGGCTTGCATCTTGAATGGAGAAGACGTTAGTAGAACTTCCTAATTGAAATTAGAGTTAGAAATAAAGTAGATAGTACGAAATCACTCACTATTCACGATTTTTTAAAAGATAAACTGAGAGTGTCCAACTTTCAAAAGCCTGAGAGAAAGTGTGGATTGTAGAGTTTAAGTCGATTAAGCCCAACAAAGATATATTGATACTACAATCTCAATAGCCGTCTACGAGAATGAACAGTTTAAGGAGAAATCTATAAGGAATGGCGTTTCACAATTTTCGAAAACATGGATTTTTTTCGAAAGTTCTTTTTACAGAGGTTGGCTCAAAAGTGTAGATTTTTGAATTTATAAGTGAGATCTTCGTCATTACAAACTTTGAGAGCTCAACAGTTGACTTTTTGGAGCACTTTCTTCAAAAGTTGGTGGATGTTCTCTACTTTTTTTTACCAGACTTCGCCTTATGATTTACAATTTTTTAAGAGTATATTATATCTAGCAAAGGGCGTAGTCCGTCTTTCCAAAGGCTGTTTTGAAGACTCTCTCAGTGGATAACCTTAACAAAAATCACTACTAGAAGATATTGTTCGTAAAATGATTTACGGTAGAAAAATAAAATCAAAAATTGACAAAATAGCGGGGTTTTAAAAAAAGTTAAAGTTTTCTCAAATTTTTGATGGTTTTTGGACTGCTGAAATTCGGTTTTTGATCAGATCAAAAAACTGGTCAGTCACTGTATGGAGGACTATGTACAGAGCTTGCAGAAAGTAAGCATCCAAGCAAAAATTGTTAATATGAAAAAAAAGGTTGTTTTTTCAACTAGAAGTACCTCTTATTAGGTACAACAAAAAAGCATCAATGATTATAATTTTTCTTCTAAATACAAATTACATAAGCAATTAAAGCCAGAGTTAGTCTCTAGATAGGTTCAGTTTATCAAGAATTTTCAAACTAGAAGTTGAGAGGCTTTGACAAAATAGGAACAACTGACCCTACTGATCTTCGATATTCTCAAATTGCAGACCTATTTCTTTAACGCAATTATATAATAAATACTTTTATTAAGCAATTCACTGGCAATTAGGTCTACAAAACACAGCTGGAGGCATTTTGTGCGTGTAAAATTGACCGACAATAGCGTGATAGTCGCGCTGGGGTGGAAAACAGATGTAAGCCCATATGTTAAGTATATGCATGCGTGTGTGTGTAGTCAGTGAAAAGGGGCCGAAATCAAGAAAAGTGCAAAAGAAAAGTAGAAGTGACAGACTGTGCGCGACTTTAGAACGTTAAGTGATTTGCTTTATTAGTGCGAGTATCTAACAGTATGCGCGCTCACATGCTCCCTGGTGAGACGACCCAACAAATATACACACACACACACACATATGTGACTGCGCACAGATTGCTGTTAGATACTTTTTTCCTTAATTTGACTCAACTAACAATGAACAATGCTGGTGACAGCCTCGACGACAGCGACAGCCACAAACCGTACTCAGTCTAATAATGTAACTCAAACTTGCTGTGTACGCTCGAGCTGTGCTTGCGAAATTTGCAAAGTTGGGAATACAAACCACAACAACAACAATAACAACAGCAAAAAATGAAGCAGAAATTCTTGCTTTTTTCGGGGGAATACGGAAATGAATAAAAGCACCAAGTATATTGCATAGAATGCGTCGTACAAAACATATCGCGCAAGCAGTAAGTCCAAATAATCGATAAAACAGACAAGTGTGAAAGCCGCTAAATAAAGACACATACGCGACGGGACGGTTTGCAAATCATACATAGTAAAAAAAAAATAAAATAAAAGTTTAGAACTAAACAAAAGTCTTCAACAAAAAAGAAAGGAAAATGGCAAAACGTATACAACAGCAACAACAAACATACAACACGTACGCACACAGCACACGCTCACAAAGCGACTAATGCAGGCGCGGACCATTCAAAAGGAAAGGAAAAGTGCTTCGTCGTTTCCTCTGAAAATTGTTTATGCACACGCAAACAAAGATATATATGTATATGTATAAATGTGTATTAGACGTAAGGGTTTATGCTGCCGTTATGTGGTTTGCTTTGTGTGCTCATAAATGTCGGTAAAGTCGAAAATCTTTATGTCTAAGCGGAAAGTCTGTTGCTATTAACACAAAATATGTGTGAGTGATAACGGGAAAAAATTTCGTATATTATTTGCGAGCGTTGAGATGTATTGTATTTGCACCAAAGTGACCTTTCACAGTTGGATACGAAACGAAATCAGCGCCGTGCGTTCACACTCCCCCAAACGGAGCAGCAATTACATGAGCTACAACAGCAATAGCAAGAGCAAAAGCAGCAGCAGTGGCAGTGGTGGCAGCAGCATAGCTAAGAAAAGCAACAACAACAACAACAACAACAGCAAGTACTACTACAACAGCGAGTATAACAACAACAACAACAAGCACAGCAAGTACTACAGCAACAACGGCAGCGTCGAGTTTAGTATCCTGTAAAAGCGCTGCTCACAAAAATATGAAAAAATCGATGCCAGACTCCGATACTTCAGCAGTCACAATCACAGCCATAGCCATAGTCATATCTACAGCCAAAATAGCAGCAGCAGCAGCCGCAGTAGCAGTAGCGGCAGTGTTAGGAGGAGCAGCAGCGGCAGTAAAAGCTACACAACAACAACAGCAATAATAACAGCACACTGTCCGGTTGCATTGCAGAATTGAATTCATTCATCGCAGCACTTTGATATATTTTCCCTGATTTTATTTGCTGGGCTGTGGAAAAATTTCTGTTTCGCTGGGCATAAAAGGAAAAGCCAGAAATTGTTGTTACATGCATACACACATACAAATGTAGTTGTTGATTTTCCGGGTAAATATTACTTCTGTGCAAAGTGAAAAAATCAAAATTTTTATACACTTACACATGTACATATGTATGCATAAGTGTTCGTGTGTATGTGCTATATGTGCTGCAAGCAAAAAAAAAAGTGTTTGGCAAATGCATTGATTAACTGAAATGAGCTTAAATGCATGCATATGTATAAAAAAAATAAATAAATAAGTGAGTGCAAAAAGCAAACTCCAAATAGACAGCAAGGTTTTGTGAAAATTATGTACCCCGTTGTAAAACAGGCATATGTATATGCTTATTTTTATATACCTACATATATACCTTTAAAGCCATTTATAAGCATGTTTGTGCATATTCTAGTTACATATAGACATTTATGTGCCTACTCAGAGTATTAATTACCGCTGCTCAAAGTAAAGTGCGCGTTTGAGTGTTTATGACGCACGGCTAATGCAAAGATTAGCAGCTATTGCCGGTGCAACTAATTATATATGTGTTAAAAAAATATATATAGGTATTAGAAAAAGTGTGAAAATATGCATAGCATTCAATTCAATACATAATTGTGCAGCTGAGAAAAAAAACACAAAAAAATAAAAAAACAACAATTTATTTTTTGCAATATTGCGCAAGCTATTTGCAAATAATTAAACAAGATAAACGATAACTTCGGTTTATATCGAGCTACGCTTCACAAATAAAAAAGTTTCCATACAAGAACTGGATTTGAGCGGTCAGTTTGTATGGCAGCTATATGCTATAGTGCTCCGAACCGAACAATTTGTTAAGATATTGTAGCGTTGTCATCTAGAGTAATCCATGCCAAACTTTATGAAGATATTTTTTCAAATAAAAAGTTTTTCATACGAGAACTTGATTTTTATGGTAGCTATATCCTATTGTGGCCCGATATTGTTGGTTCAAACGAATGAATTTCTTATGGAGAAAAAAACGTGTGCGAAATTTGAGATTGATATCACATAAACTAAAGAACATGTTTGCGTATGTACAGACAGACGGACATGACTAAATCGAACAGCTCATCGTGCTAATCATATATCATATATGTATGTATATATTTTATAGCGTCTCCAACGTTTCCTTCTGGTTGTTACAAACTTAGTGGCAAACCTAATATACCCTGTTGAGGGTATAAAAGAAACAACAACACTATTTTTTTGCAACATTGCGCAAGCTAATTGAAAATAGTTAAACAAGTAACACAGAAAATTACTAGCAAGCAAGCAGTGCATGTATGTACATGCATACACACGCTTATATACATATGTAAAGTGTATAAAAAATAGTCTAGCTAAAAATTAAAAATAAAAATTTAAGTGAAAATAATAATAAAATTTTAAATATTCTCAAACCTACAATTTAACTAAATTTTTCAACTACACTTTCACTCTCACGCTCTC